TGTTGCTGCTGTTGCTGTTGTTGTTGTTGCAATGTTTGGTTTTGTGTAAATAATGCTGAATCTACTGGTTCAACGATTGTATGTTCAGGAGTTATATCATGGCTAGAATTTTCATTCTCCGATAACAATGGACACTCAGAACTTGTACGCCTGTATAAATAAAATAAATTTTATAAACATTTATATACTAAATATTTGCCAGTACTATACAATATTATACATACCCAGTTAAATTAATCCCTTCTTGAGCTTCCGTCTCGGATATTTTTCCTGAGAGTTGTTGATCAGGGAGCTTTAAATGAAACTGAGACTGATCAGAAGGAGTAGAACTTTCTAAATTTTGAGTATCTTGTACAACATATTGTGAGATAGTTTGTTGCAATTGTGGCTGGGTCTGTTGAACGTGTCTTATCGGCGCAGTTTGTTGTATTATTTGATTCATAGGAGCAATCCATTTATTCTGTGAACTTAATGCATGAACTGCTACTCCTTGGAAGTTTTGTTGTGCCATTTGTAACTGAGAATCGACCTGATGAGTTGTATTTAGTTGCACTGTTTGTTGCAAAGGTACCTGAGCTTGATGAGACTGTTGACTGATTTGAAACGTTTGTGGAATTACTTGCTGTGTCATGTTCGCTTGATAATTATGTGGTAATTGTGACTGTATTTGTATTTGACTTGCTTCAGGTTGAATAGGTTGGAAATACTGCTCAGGTTGAAGAGTTGGTTTATATTCGAGTACTGTGGTTCCGGAAATATTTACAGTTTGGCTTGGCTCGTGGTTAGTTAAACAATGAGGAGTCACAGATTTTGATTTTGGGTTTGAAAGTATATTTGCTAAATTTTGTGCTAAATCTGGAAGCGTTGAAGAAACTTCTTTCGTTTTAAGCATAACTTTAGGAGTAACTTCTGCACTAACAACTTGATGCACAGGTATAGATGCACTGGGGACATTAGTTTGAGGAGTCGTTTGAAGTTGTTGGATTGGTTCTAAAACAGTTTGTGACAAAGGAGTAATGTTTGATCCATCTGTTTGAGAAATATATTGTACAGACTGCATTTGAGGCATCGATAAATTGGGCACAACTATTGATTGTTTTTTGTCATCTGTTACACTAGCAGTTTCTGAAATTTGTGAATCCGTGGACATGTTCGACGTCGTAGAAATATTAGAAATCCTGCGGTTTCTTTCATCTATGATTGCAGTTGGTTGCAATTGTGAAATAGGTCCAGAAAGTATTACATATTGTTGATGTTGTTGCGGTATTTGCTGAGGTTGAAATTGTTGCAACGGTCGCTGAACTTGCATTTGCCCTTGATGTTCAGGCTGAATGTGCATTTGCGTTAAATTTTGCTGTACGGTAATTTGTTGTTGTTGTAACAGAAAATTGCACGGTATAGATTGATTCTGATACTGCCCTACTAAATTGATTCCAGTCGAAGTTTGTAAATCTTTTTGTGACAGACTTACACTTTGAGGTGCAACTTGTATTTGTTGAGGTGATTGCTGCGTTATTGCCGATCCTTGAACAATTACGTTGTGTTGACTAGATTGCGTAGCATTAACATTCTGTTGCATTTGTGACATGGATAGTATCGCTTGTTGCCCTTGTACAGTAGTTTGAGGAATAATCGATTGCTGTACCGGTTGTTGAATTGTTTGAATATTGTCCATTTGTTCTACGACACACTGAGGACTTTGCGTAACGGTTTCAATATTAGATTTCTCTGTAGCTTGTGTCTCCAAAACATTCACTTCTAGATCATCGTGTTTTGCTTGTCCTTCATCAATCGTATTTGGTTGCAATAATGAACTAGATTGTGTTGTTAATATATTAGATTTATCTACACTTTCTACAGTAGTAGATTCTTCCTCTTCACTTGTAACAACTTTCTGCTCGACTACAGGACTAACTAAGAAACGAGAAATTTTTCGCGCTGGAGGTGGTGCAGTTAATGTAGTCATTTCTGTAACTGAAGCATCAGGTGTTTCTTTATTTATTTCCTTTTCTTGCTCAGTTTCGTCCTGAACCATGGATTCTTTAAATTTTTCGTTTGTTTGATTTACAGCCGAATCGTTTGTTTGATTTTGATTCGTTGATTTAGCGATTTCATCTTTAAGTATGCTGTGTACGTCTACAACTGTGTCTGCTGTTACAGAAACGATAGTTTCCTGAGTTGGATCCGTTGGGTCGCTTGGTAAATTAGTCGGTGTTAATGTATCTGTATTTTGTGTAGAAGTCGATGATCTTCTGGAGGCTTCAGCTGATGTGTTTTCAGGACCCATCTGGCTATCAGGTGTTTGCACATTTTGTTGTTTTTCCGTTGAAGAGGAACCCGTAATATGAGAAAGAATTTGGTCAATCGGTAACAATTTCGTAGGTGTAGAAGTGTTTGAAGTTTCGTCTCTCTGGAACCACACAATAAATAATTATCTATCTATCAAAATTATCTTTTACCAATAAAATTACAATGCATATAAAATAAAATTGTGGTATAAATCAGATAACTATCAACAATAAAATACAACTCAAACTGAATTACAAAAGGAAAACACAAATAGGTATTTTTAATAATAAACGCACGTCTTACAGTGATATTATGTTATAAAAAAAAGTCTTAATAAATACAATTTCATTCATCTTTAAAGAAAGTTGTATAACTGTTACTTATTATTTCGTGTATATAAAATTCTCTTGAATGCGATATACTGTTAATAAAAATTATAATCTTTATAAAAAGGCGAATGTCCCTGAAAAATTTTCAAAGAAAAATTAAATATAATATATAATAAAGAACAAAAATTAAAACATAAAACATGCCCTAACCGTAATCTAAACATTAAGTTATGCGAGTTGCCTATGGGAAAAATTGAATAATAACAGGAAATGTCGTTATAATATTGCTGTACTTTAAAAGATACACAAATGTCCGAACACAATGTATCATGAATCAAAAGGATGCACAAACGTCCACGATTATACGATGAAATATAGGAAATAGGAAAAGGTGTAGAGGGGACGATGAACTCACCGAACGGTGTCTACGATGGACTTTGTACGACGATCGGTGGCTGCTTTGACGAGTTAGCGAGCCATGTCTCACCTGCTGCGTCCAAAACCATACACACCAATTATACCTTAGAGGTACACCCTTCCATTTTTTTAATAGGATTACAAGATATACACCTCGAGCGTAACCACATTATTTTAATATGAAATATATAAGAGATATGGTTGTATTATTTCAAGGAAAGAACTTATAACAAGTAAAACAGTCCTATGATATGCATTATGGACTTTTGTGTATCAGGTTCTTAAATGATAATTATAATGCCAGTGACAATATCCTTTGTTAAAACATCTATTTCAAAATTTATTTCTGTTTATTTCTTTGATTAAAAAAAAAAAAAAAAAAAAAAAACAAAGAAAAAAAGAAAAAAAAAAGAAAACGAATTTCCCTTTCAGATAATTTGCATTAGTTTCATTACACTCATAATTCACATCTATGAAATAAATTGACAAAACGAAAAGAAAACCGTTACCTTAGTTGTATCAAGACTGTGGTCACGATCTCTAGGTCGACGACTCGTAACTGGACTACCACCGGCAGACTGATCTGGTGGACCATGTGCTACTAGAGGTAAAGACCGTGTAGGATCTAAACGCAATTGTTTAACAATATCTTCTATCAGTTCAACGAATGTTTCACATTGAGATTGTGGTAATAAGTTTTCAGCAACCTGAAAAAAGTAGAAATAAAGTAATAATATAAATTTAAAAAATAAAAGTATTAACTCTTTCATCACCGTGAACGAGGTATCTCCTGCCACTGCTTTTACAATTCGTTAGTGATATTGTTCGACATACCTCGTTCAAGATAGCGAAAGGGTTAACATATAAAATTTTATTATTTATTTACCAGATTGTTAGCAATGTCAGTAGGTACCATATCATCTCTATCGAATTTAAATGTTACAGTTTTTTGTTTGCTGGTATCTAGCTGACATTCAACAGTCATTGATTGCCCCTCGTTACTGCTTACAGACAAAACTGTTAATTTTATACCAGGCTTCTTACGTTTTGTACCAGATCTTTTTACTTTAGACCTTTCAGACGAAGTGACATTTTCGGTACTTTCTTGACTCATTCTACATGTAAAAATACTTAGTAACAATATCTACTTAAACAATGATTGAAATTTCATATATTTACCCTTCATTTGGCACTGTTGCTTGGGATGTAGCGCTACCAGATATAGTAGAAACGTTCCCTTGATCCTGAATATTAGATGGTACGTCTGGTGGAAGAGATTGCACAGAATCCATTGTATCTTGTTTAGATAAGGATGACCTATCTGTGTTAGAACATTGCTCTGTACTTGAAATAAAAGATTGTTGATGTTGAGATGTTGTTGTTGATTGCACAGAAATACCAGATGATATAGGTACAGTAGTAGGGATATTAGAATTTTGTGAATATTGCATTTGAACCAAAACGTTTTGTTGATGTTGAGGCTGGTGGCCACCATTTGAAATAATCGACGATGCATTTTGCATTGGAATTGTAGAAGTTATTGTATTTTGTATGTGAGTTACTGATGATGTGCTTTGAATATTTAGACCGGATGGTACAGATGCTTGTCCTGGTTGTGGTTGTATATAAGGTTGTGAAGTTGAAGGTGCTGTATTCTGAGGGATGCTCGGATGAGAATATATTTGAGCGGTAGATTGGTTGGATGGTAAAATTTCAACATGGCCAGAAGAATTTGAGCCAGCGTATGAATGATACATTTGTTGAGATATATTTTGTTGATATATAGATTGCGTACTGTATCCTGAGGTTCCTGTTGCACTTTGTTGATAGTATTGTTGATTTTGAACTGGCGGAGAATTTACCGAATGCGAATGTACTTGCTGAACATGCTGTATTTGCGGTTGAGAATATTGCACCTGTTGAGGTTGTGGTATTTGTTGATGCATATGTTGCGGTTGTGGTAAAATTTGTATTTGTGGCGGTATTTGCTGTTGTATTTGATGGCCCATTTGTTGCGGCACATTCAATTGTATGTATTGCTGTTGTTGATGCAAATGTTGCTGTTGTTGTATTTGTTGAGGTACTTGAGGAAACTGTGATTGAGTTTGTACAGTCTGAGGGGTAGAACATTGTGAAGTAGCAGTTAAATTTTGTGAAACATGCGAAGGAAATTGTTGTGGCTGCTGTTGCTGTTGATATTGTTGTTGTAGCTGCTGTTGATATTGCTGTTGTTGGTATTGTACTTGCTGCTGTGAAACTTGAGGTACTTGTTGCATTTGCTGTGCTTGCTGCGGTTGAACAACAGATGTTTGTTGTTGCATTAATGGTTGTTGTTGAACCAATTGAACTTGTTGTGGCTGTAAATTATGCTGCGGAGGTTGTTGTGCAGCAGTTTGTATCTGTTGCTGCTGCTGCTGCAAAGGTATTTGATTCTGTTGCAACTGCATTTGTACTTGACTCTGAATTTGAATACCCATGTTTGATTGTATCTGTTGTTGTTGCTGTTGTTGCAATTGCATTTGTTGAAGTAATAATTGTTGTTGCAACAAATTTTCAGTGGTTGTATTAGCGCTATCTGCTTCTCGATCTAAACGTTCCTTTTCTTCTTTGGCTTTACGTTCTTCTCTCTCTCGCAACAAAGTACTGATTTGCGATTTTAACATTTTTGCCACAGCCTTAACATCTTCTTCGAGTATAAGGCTAGATTTAGCCATTTCCGAGGCTACTTCTTCTGCGTTGTCAGTTTGAATGTCAAAGTCAAATTGTATTGCCTCATTTTCTTTATGTTTATTAGTACGTTTCTTGGGATCCAACACTCTGAGTCGGAATTCTACGCGCGATAATTCAGCATCCGCTACGGCCGAATCTCTCGAAACCATTTCTAATTTTAATCCAACATCATCCGCAAAAAATTCGTGATTTAAAAGATCTTTAACTAAGGGTCGTTCTTCTTTCTTTAGACGAATACACATTTCTATAATCTCACGTACTTCTGGATTTTCCACTTTATCATAGCTCTGTGGCTTTACACCCTGTGTATAATACAATTATCATTTAATATGTTATTAGATATGTTGAATAAAAATAAATACCACATAAAGAATACAAAATAAATAAATGAATAAAATTTGAATACATAAAATTTAAAAAATGTTACATTCAATATAATTATTTTTATATTATTAATTAAAATTAGCAGTGATTTACCGATACTACACGTTTATATATTTGTGCCGGTCCAGTACATTCTGAATATGGATATTCACTAGTAGCCATTTCAAGCATACACATTCCGAATGCATAAACGTCAACAGATTCATCGTAATGTTCTTCGTACATTTCTGGTGCCATAAATTCAGGAGTTCCGATAACACTTTTTGCAAAACTTCGATTTTTAAGAGTAGCAAGTCCCAAGTCGCCAATTTTTACACTTCCTGTAGTACCAGTTATAAAAATATTGTCACATTTTAAATCACGATGAATAATTGGTGGTGATCTCGAATGTAAGAAACTGAGGCCTTTCAAAATTTGTCGACACCAAGATTTTACTACTTTTGGATTAATTTTTTTAAATCGTCTTAGGTACCTATATGAAATTACATAATAATTTAGAATTATAATTATAATAATAGGAATTTCTAAAAACTTTTTATGAATTTAAAAACGTACGTTTTCAATGTTCCTGAAGTCATAAGTTCAGTGACCAACACAATATATTTTCTGCGTGTAAGTGTAACTTCCCAATAATCATAAAACCTAACAATATTTGGGTGTTGTAACCCTTTCAACATTTCTGCTTCCTCTCGAAATCTTAACCTTTCTGTTTTATTTAATTTTTTTTCCTAAAAGAAAAAGAAACAATTAAAAAATTATAATTATATATAAATCTATTTAAAATACATACTATAAACTTTTTTTATTATATTTCACTAACCTGCAATTCGCACCAAGCAACAGCTACACCAGTTTGAGTGTCCAGACCTCTGTATACAGTTTTAAAGCTGCCTCTACCAATTTCCTCCTCAAATTTTAAAAATCTACCATCTGGTGATATACCTATGGCCTTTTCTTCGTCATCATCATCTTCAACAGTTTGCACTTTAACTTTCATTAATAAATTTCGTACTTCTTCCATAGCCATTGTTTTCTGCGTTAATTTTTCATCTGCTTTGAAATTTTCATCAAGTAAAGGACCAATAAATCCTTCAACCGTTTCTTCTTGCACGACTTCTTTTGCCATCTCTTCTTTTTCTTCTTTCACCATTTTGGTTTCGTCTTGCGTGCTTGTATTATTGACATTCTCCATTTCTGTATCTAATGGTGGCACTTTTCCTAATTTACTCAGAGATTCATGAAGCGCTTGAGCAGCAACAATATCACTGATACTGGTGCCATTATCATCATCGTATATTGTTACTTCTTCTTCTACTTCTCTTTGGGCCTCTATATCCTTAACCTCAGTATCTATAATTTCTTCTGATACTTTTGATGTTACAAATCTTGAACTTTTTATCTTTTCTTCACTTTGTTGCGTATTCTTTCTATCATCTATCATATTTTTTTCCAAATTTTTGGCCAAGTTTTCAATCTCTTCAATATTAGTAGATTTTGATTCTTCGTTAGACGTTTTCTGTTTTGTTTTTTCATTATTTTTATTTACTGTTGAATTCATTTCTGTAGCCAAAGTTGTATCTATGTTTTTTTCCATATTTGCTTCTTTTAAATTTTTATTATTTTGTTGTTCAATCATCTTTTCTGTAACATATTTACTTCTAGATTTTATAGATTTGCATTCAGTGGATTTCGTACTTGTAGAAGAAGAGGAAAATAATTTTTGTTTATTCTGTGTACTTATTTCTTCTTCAATACTATTTGTTGATATTTTTCTTGTAATATTCGAAGTTTTAGAAAATTCGAAACATTCTGATGTAGATGTCCTTTGTTCATTAGGATCTAATGATTCTTTTTTGTCTGATGTGTTCTGTGACAAATCAGCACCTTCTTCACTAATATTGCATTCCATACTCGTTTCATCTTCGTCCGATCTTTTTGATTTCAGTCGACTAAGTGGTGTCGATGGTGTGGAAGTGGATCCTATATATGAAAATGAACATTCTAAATCTGATTTTACTAACATTCTAAAATCTGTGACACAAAAACTGTAGATAAATGCTAATATAAGATATATACCTGGCACATTGCAGACATTTTCTGTTGCTGTAATAGCTTCCTCTGCATCGCTAAAACTACGGTCGTTTTCATGATCTAAAGATGGCGAATTGAGATTTCGAGATGATGATTTTTCAGAAATTCGTAATGCAGATAAAACTTTCTTTTTAGAAGAAGGTGAATTACTAGCGATTCCGTTACTTGTTATAGATAATGAATCAGTAAGATCTGTTCTTTGTGATCGTATTTGTTTCTTGCAAATTGGTGTAGAGGAACGGTTTATATTTGATGTCTAAAAAAATTAATAACAATATAATTTATATAGAAATGTTATTTAGATACAAAGTATCGTTTGTTTTTTACATACCTTTCTATCACCAGAATTATGGGCACTAGTGCCAGCTTGTGAAACAATAGATAATTTTCTTTGGCGTTTATGATTATGTGTGTGGTTATGAATCCTTTGAGTGGTTACAACAGAACAAGGACCTGCTCCTTCCTGAGAGGCTAAGTGGCCCACTGATAGACTAATCCCACCCTGATTACCACCACCTCCACTGGCCACCAGCTTTGGACATAAACTTGACAGGCCACTTCCGCCCGAAGATTGTTGTCTATTTGTCTCATACCTAAAACATCATTAAAAATACTATATAATTATTATATCATATTTTCTTTTCTTTTCATTAATATTCCTCTTTTAAATATTATTTTCTTTGATCAAGTTTTTTACTTAAATCATATATATTTCATTTTAGATATAAAATATGCAGTAAGCTTTTATTTTATAATACAAAACATAAATATAAATCATAGCAAAAATTATTATCAAGCTAAAATCAAACTAAAATCATAATTTAACATTATGAAGTGTTGTGTTTTGTGAATTATATAAAATATAAAAAGAGAAAGTTACACATATTTTGTAATAAAATATCTTTTATTATATAACTATGAAGAATAGTAAATCTAAATTAAGAAATTAATGTTTAACCTCATCTGTACTAAATGTACATGCCAACTATAAAATTGTTATATTACATAATATTAAAATATTATGAATGATGATTTGAAGTACTACTTAATCTTAAAAAAGAGAAATATAAAGGATATTTAAAAAATAAATTCAAGATATATATAAAATATATAGTGATGATAAAAATTCCCAAACATAAGAAGCCAAATTAATAGCTATTAATAAATTATTTTTTCTGAAATGTTTAAATGACACCAAATACTAATTGAATAGTTCCATGTTGCAATATGACAAAAATATAAATCATATAATTACTAACCTTTGAATACCTATAAAATTTCATGTTTGAAGTTCAGGGTCAGTAATTCTGGAAATATATTGGAATTTATACTTTTCCTGATGAAATTTTTAAATTTTGTATAACATTTCTTGATTAGATTTTATAGTACCTCATAATTTATGTTAATTTTAGCCAAATATTTTAGTTAATATCTATAAAATTTTTCTTAAAAACTGTAATAATTTCAGTATGTACATGTACAGTACGGATGAGATATACAAAAAATTTCTGTGCATGTGTAGTTTTATTATTTAATAAATATCATACTTTATTATATTCAATAATTAAAGAGTTCAATAATTCAAAATTAGAAAAATTTTGTTCCTTGGTCATGTATTTGAAAGTATTTATTGTAATAGAATTATTTAAAAAATGGAATCTGTAAAATAATTAAAGAACAATCTTCATAAAGTGCATTCCAAATTAAATATATATATAATTTATATATATTTATATGTTAAATATATATATAATTTTATATATATTTGGAATATAGTACTACTTATATATATATGAAACGTGTAGTCAAATGAAAAGCAAAGAATGAATTATAGCAAAGAAATTAAATGACATAAGATAAAAAATGGCAATGTAAGAAGCATGATTTTGATACAGACATCATTATACCTGTCCTGCCTGCTGTGGCCAGATGAGAGAAATCCACGCACTGTATTGCCTATAGCTGCTCTCTTTTTAATTTCTTTTTTCCGTTCTCTGTACCCACCAGATCCAGTGTCCACTTGATCTTGACGAGTGTTTCTATCTCCCTGTAATCAACATATTATAATTCTCAGTGAGATAATAAGTAAATGTGCATAGATGTATCAATAATTAATGAAATAAACAATATATATTAGTTTATCTAGTTAGAAAGTTTACCTTAATACTTAAAAGCTTTATATTCAAATTAGTACTTGTGCTTGTTGGAACTGGACTTAGATCACACCTTACTCTTCTGTGTGATTTCTCAACAATTGGTGGATCTTCTTCTAATTCCAACTGATTTCCAATTGTAAAAGAACGACTCTGTGTTAATAAAATATCTTCTGTATTATGTTCCCGACTAGTGCCAACCGAACTCACTGCCTTGTTTTCATTGCAGCATCTCGGCATTGCACATAACCAACGTATGAAAGAATTCACTTTATAAAAATCCTTGCCTCCTATTTTATATATATATACATATATTTATATATGTAC